AAGATATTATTACAAAATGTATACTTTTATTAATAATGGTGGATAAAGAATGGATATCTTTTCCTAATTCATTATTATCAGTCTGAAATTATTATGGTCTTTATCCTTATTATGTTTCGTTGTAATATGACATATATGATGTGTTCTGTTATAATATGTATGCTTACATTGTAATATGATATGATATGTATGCTTCGTTCTCATATAAAATAATATATCAAAATTATTTTTTTATTAATAAATATAAGTGAAGTTAAAATACACCGTATACTATTTATTGTTAAAAAAATACCGAAATGACGTCTTTTACATCTAAATAGAGCTAAATAAGAGTATTCTAAAGGTGTCATTCCATGACGTGTATCGCAGTACGCCCGTATTCGCGTATCGAAAGATCCGACCAATATCGCTGATGTTCCGTTTTAACGTCCTCGATTGGAACGTGAGCGATCGGTCGGATCTTCGATACATGAATACGCACATACAGAGATACGCGTCATGGGACGGCACTGATACGTTATTTTTACATCTTATAATGTCATTTTTACGTTTTAATATGACGTCTATGGGTTGTGACTTATTCCGGTCATTTTCACGTCATTTTTACGTGATTATGAAAGGATAATTAACGTCACGACTGACCAAAACGTGAATATCACGTGACGCTGCTGCCTGGGTATAGATTTTTTGTTCTAAATTAAAGAAGGCTATAAAAAAGACTCGGCTTATAAACATTTCAGACATTCAGAACCGCGTGACAAAACTTAATGCGATATCCAAAGATGACTTTTCACAGAGTTTCTACAAGCCGTACAAATGTTGTCAAAAGTTTATGATCGGGGGATTACTTTAAAAAACAATAAAAGTCATTTGTATATTAATTAAATAGTGTTTATTTTCTTATAACATTCACCGAACTTTATTGTCACACTACATGTAGGGTAAGACCTCCCAAGAGTGTCCATCGCTCAAGAGTTTGCATTGAGCTTTACGACGAAACTATTATAGTATAGATCGTAAGAGCTGTATTTCATACAGAATGTGCCTTTTTCGTTTGTCAATCTGTGTATAAAAAATCGTTGTGATCGTTGCACCGATAAAAAAGATATTTTAAATTTGGTGATTTTGATCACTTTCTTTCTATATTTTTCAGGGATAAATTGATCGATTTCTACATTAAATTGTTAATTGCTTTGTGAATCTGTACTATTTATATTGTGTGTATGCATGTCTCTGCTTCATATTTGGTGAGATATATTTACTTAATATCTGTAATAATTTTTATATAGTTATATTAAAAGTAAAAAGTGACATGATCACTCAAAAATTCGCACTTGAGAACAGTAGCTCAAAAGTTCGTACATGAGCAGCACTGGCAAACGCCGATCGTTGGTAACATATTTTGTAACGATCTCTATTCAAGTTCTAAATCCGGTGAAAATTGGATCCAGTGCCAGAACTGCTGGCTCTGGGCCCATATCGATTGCGCCGAGATCGGCCGTCGATCGAAAACTTACTTGTATGAACTTGTGTATGTAAAAATACACTCAGGTATTTATAAACATATCTTTTTAATGAAAAATAAATGCTATTTTTACTTTAACATTACTTTTCTTATAAGCCACACTTTTTTCATAGTGCGAGCTCTTGTGCGAATTAATGGGAACTCTTGAGAAGGCACTTGCTCAAGAGTTCGCATTTTCCCTTTTTAGTAGAATTAATCTCCTGTAAAAACAAGTGATAATATTAAATTGATACTTGACAAATTTTTACCCTATAAGCGCATAATATTATTTAATATTTTAAGTATATTCTTAGAATATTAAATGATAAATGTATATTTAATATTCTAAGAGAAAATATGTTTAAAATATTAAATAATATTATGCGCTTATAGGATAATTTAAAGTATAAGGAATAATTTAAGCACCACTTTATTGTACAAACTCGGGTCCTTGTACAAGTTACGTAGCCTCAAAGAAAAAGTGCGCATTTTTGGGTAGTCTTACCCTACACATCAGGTAAAATTGTGTTTAGAATGAAAACGATATACATTATCCAGAGGAATTTCATTGTCCAAAGATAGTCTCATGCGGCGAGAATAGTAAAGAGGCGTGCTAAAAACAATAAACCTAAATTGAAAATCAAAGAAAATATTTATTAAATCTAATTTTAACAAGAGACAAAAATATCTATATACATATACATAGTAATGTATGTATACACATAGATTCTGCCATGCACGGAGAGCATATATAGCGAAAGTTAATCACAAATCGCATCGACTTCCGATTCCGCGGTAATTAATTTTGATCGTGATACATGTTCCTAGTATTTCGATTTCCCAACTTGATCTGCAACTTTAATTTCAACGATTATTCTATTTCACTATATTGTATCAATTGAAACTTTTTGGAATATATTGTGACACAATACCTTCAATAAATGTCAATCGTTATATAAAATGTAATTACATTTAATTTAATTATTTTACATAATTATTTAATTAAGTCATTTGTGAGAGTGTTGTATTGTGTCAAGCACTGCATAACAAAAGGAATCACCAACTCTTCCTGATTTAGCAACATCGGTACAGCAATGCGAATGCTTCCGCTTTCCTTTTAACACAATCACTCTCCGTGTACGGTTCAAACTATGCTTTGTAACTACCATGCTATGTACCCGTACAAACCGTATTTGACGACACTATTTATTGTACATTACGGAGACTTAAATAAAGTGATAAATAATATTAAAGTCTCTATCTATCATAACGAAAATTCATAGCAAAAATTCTTGTAACAGAATGTTTCGTGATATTTTATAAGAACTATTTTCTATAAAAAAAAACATCTTTACAATAATAAATAAAAAAATATCATAAAAAATACCTTATTTACTAAAGAATCGAAAAAATATCTTATTTACTATTAAGAAGAAATTACAGAATTATTTCATAAAACAAAAAATAATTATAAATAAATCAGAAGGAATGTGTATGTGTGGAGTATATATACCTTTGTAAATCTAAAAGTATATGCATTTAAATGAGAAATCATATTAATTATCACTATGCATATCTTGGTAATAAAAAAGAGAGTCATGCATTATTGGACACCAGTACCAATTTAATAATATAGTTGAAAAAAAGAAAATTTATGCGGGTAGATTCTAGAAAGCTATTAATTATTGTCACATATGGTTGCACCGAAACCAATCGTTAAAGTTTTTCTTCGATTTTACGATACCAAAAAGAGTTAATCGTCCGCGTTTATATGCGAACGAAAATTTCACAGCATGCTGTGATCCATCGCCATCCGGTAGAAAACCAGTTGAGACTCCAATCTTTGGTCAATAAACTCACCCCGAAGGCTTCTCATCCTTATCACCAAAATCGGACCTGATATCGATGATGCCGATACCATTATCCAAGATCTTGCCTTCTTTGCACTGATAATAAGGCACACATTCGCAGTCGTCAGGTTTCGGTGTTTGATTCGTGATGCCGAGGATGACATTTGAGGAAGCAGTAGTGGTGGTGACGTTGCTGAAGATGTCTTTGATGATGCTATCGACATCGCCGCCTATCGCGGGTACCCCCTGAGGGGTCGTAGTATTTTGGGGGAACGCCTGATCGATGAGATCGGCGAGACTACCTTTTTCTTGCGGCAATGCCGTCACTAAAGTCAGGCCAACCAAGGCCAATGCAGAAACCAGTTGCTGCATGGTTTGCGCCAAGGATTCTTGACTGAACAAACATGAAAAATGGTGTAATATCTCAAAGGTTGTATCGCGGAACGATCGTATCTAAACCGATTTTACGACGGTTTCGCAAAATCTCATAATGGCAATCATAAAGAGGAAACATCTTTTTTTTTTGAAGCTATAAATAGCGATGATACATCGATGCCTCACTCTAAGATAAAAAAGGAAAAAAAAATGCAAACTAAGTAGCTCGAGAAATCTTTAATCACATTTGTCTTTCGTGCGATCATTAACATGAAGCAATTTAGTCTTCGGTAATTCTTGGTTATCATCGAGAAGCATTGAATAAAATGCACTTTAATGTAGTAGATAACATGTTTACATGCTGCGTTAATGAAGGATATATAATAAATTTATATGTGGAAATAGTTTTGACATCACTGGTGAATTTTTTGAAGGACATTTAAAATTGCATTATGGAACGAGCTTGCTATTTTATATTTCATTTTTTACAATCGAACTTGTCGCCATAAATGAAAATATTTTTATTTATTACGAAAAAAATTAGATTTTGAAGTTATAATAATTACATAACAATAAAGAAGTAGAAATACCAATAATATAATACATACATATGTCCTATATGTTTTGGTAATCTATACATATACATAATTTTTCTACTTCTCGGGATTCTCCCGAGTTGTCGGAAACGAGATTAAATCATATTAGGCGTTTCACAATCCTAGTAATTCATGATAACGAAGCATAAAAAGTTTTTGTCTAATCAAAACAAAGAAAATGCAACTATTAACAGATATCAGACAAAGCTGCGTATTCGAATTTACTTGTAATTTTTACAGTTATCTAACAGATAATTATGACAAATAACTATGTAACAAATGATGATAAATTAACAGCTTTTACGCATGCATAAATCATTTTAAAAAATTAATTAATATTCTCTAATCTAATTTATATAATATATAAAATATTATATATTCTATTTCATAAAAATATTAATGTACAATAAAAATATTTTTTATGAAATAGAATTCATAATTTTATATATGCATAGACACATCTCAAAGTATATTAATTAAATTTAACTGATGAGTATATCTATTATATATTTTAATACTTCAATTTTACTATCTCTATATTTTTGTATATTTTACTATTATATCTAAGATATTCTTCTATTTATAACAATAACAGTAAAATTATTTCAAACTTTCAATCCAATGTTAAATCTGAAAGAAAACATTAGAACAAGGACTTTTATAATTTTCCTAAAAAACGTATGACCATAAAATACACGCGACGCAATAATTTGACCACATAATTATTCAGAACACTTGATACCTTCAGATAATTAACATTATCTGCGAGGTGCTTCCGCAATAAAGATGCACATGGATATTCGTCATCCTTTACATAAATATTCGTCAACACTATTATTCTTATTTTATATTTGTTATGTGCATAAACACACTCTGATAGATGTATTGCGAAGCTAGAAATATTTTGTCACTTATTCTGAACATTCAACATTTTTTTACCACAAGAATAAAAGATTAATTTGATAATTGATACATTGATAATTACACGATAATGCTGTAGTAAGTTATGTAATATTTCGATTGCAGAATCTTCTTACGAAAAGTTTATTTAAAATTACTTGCCACTGACCTTTTTGCGGCAAATTTTTCGCAAATCAGAACGAAAAACATATATCGTTAAACCGATATCAGCTTCCAGCTATTTAGCCCAGAAATTACAATAATTTTGTTTCAAGAAGTTATGAAAGAAAATTATATACAATAGGATGATTTCGAGAATTTTACATGTCGAAATTATATAATCATTATATGATTATATACATTATTGTAATAAACGCGATCATATGCTTAAGACAGAAAAATCGATATTATTGAGCATAATCTATTATAATTTAGATTATGATTCCTCTCTCTCTCTCTCTCGAATAAACAGCAAACTTTATCACTGAACATTCAGAAAACTCGAGCGAAGCAAGTTTATATTATGATCAAATTTGATATAGTACTTACCAGAAGAAAATACCAAAACACAATGAATAACAAATGAACACCTTCCACTCGGAGCAGCAATGCTCGAATAGTTCGGTTCCGAGTTAAGATCGTGATTTCCTCTGTGTATCAAGAAATCCCTACTCCAAGCACGTTTATCATGGATTCTCCCCACTTTCCTTCTGTCATTACTACTCCAAGACTTGGAGAACCGGCATTTCCCACCCATACATCGATTCTGAGACTCGACGTTGTTTTCCTGGAAGTTCCAGTAGAGAAACTCTTAATTAACATTCCCTTAATTGATGCAAAATTCCCCTTTTTCGTGACGCACAACTCGAAAAATTCTTTAAAAAAAAATATAAATATCTGTTGACTTAACTGACCTTAGGCCAATAATGATTAAGCGAGTCCTTCAGATACGGATATGTTTTGCAAAAGAGGTCTTTGAGTTTTTTTGAAAAATGTCAGTTATGGTCATATTTTGTCAAATAGTACTTTGTCCAGATTCTTACAAACTATAACCAGCAATAATTTATTTAACTACACGAAAAGAATTATTTTACTAAAGAATCTAAAAATTTAGATCATACCTGAAAATAATATAGTTGGATCATCAAAGTAATTATGTAGAACTCTCAAGCATGATGAGCAATTGTGCAAAATGTTTTGATATTCCAGCAACCAGTGTGAGCGTATATCCATAATTATATTAATTATTTTCAATGATTCAATAAAATTATTTTTAAACTTGTATATAGATGAATATTTTAAATACAGTAAAGTATTCTTTTTGTGTACAATTTCAGTATTAAAATCTGATAATTGTATTACTGAAAAACTCCACGTAAAAATATATACTCTTGTCGCTTCGCGTGTCTTAACCGAGACACTACCGTGTCTCTTGATTCTTACCGTGAAAGCCTCAGGCGCGGATGTACATGATAAATTGATAATCTTTTACGTCTTTACTTGGTTTCAATTGTATTTGCTGCTGAATGGTGTATTCTGCAATACCAGTTTCGATCTTTATCTAGGTTCTCTTCAGTGGATGGCTCCGAATAAACATTTTTATTAACAAACCAAGCAAATCAAAAAAGTTTATTCATTTCGTGCAATTAGATGAAATATAAACGCTGCAATAAGAAATTTGAATAGATTATTTGGCTGAAGATAATGTGTGTGAACTTCACATAAAATTTGAAGTTACGTATAAGTATTTGTCTAAGTTGAAGAAATTAATGTCGATTTTTTGCTAGTGGATAATAAATTGTCAAATGTACGTAACATTCAAATTAAATACGATTTTAGTAATTGTTTCTAAGTTGTTACTAGACACTTTTATAAAACGCGTTTCATAAAAAGCCTGCACTGAAAAAAATTTCTGGTTGAAAATGGACGAATCAGAATTTTCTGATTAAATTTATTAGAATTCTAATTGAGATAACAGGAATTCTGGTTGATACAATATTTCTGGTAAAATCTACTAGAATTCTCATTTTTACCAGAATAATTATATCAATCAGAATTTTAATTATCTCAACTAGAATTCTAATAGATTTAACCAGAAAATTCTGATTCGTCCATTTTCCACCAGAATTACTATTTAATCCAACCAGACCATTTTTCTCAGTGTGGAAATCGCAAATTTTTTATGTTAAGATCAAATATGTGTATAAAATGTATCTGATTATTTTTTAAATGCGTTATAAAGATGCATACATCTCGTTTGCCGTATGATTCTTTTTCACGTAGCTTGCTACAAAAAAAGAGACCGTAAAATATCCTACACTGTTAAATCTATAATGTCAATTTAACTTAACGTGAGTCGCCACTGCTCCTACTAAACATATCATTATTTTTTATCAAAATGATAGTTAAATTTGACACTATACCGTGTCAATTTGACACTATACAATGTCAAATTAACACTATAGTGTCAAATATAACCATTGTTTTAGTATAAAATAACGACATGATTGAGTAGGAGTAGTGGCGACTCACGTTAGGTTAAATTTGACACTATAGATTTAACAGTGTATAATAAAATATAACAAATAAGTACGCAAATTTTAATCTTATCTAATTGTAAGAAATTACCTATATAAACGAAACAGTTACAGATCACTGATATTTATATCAATATGAAAACTACGTCATTCTCTTTCTCTTTTTACATCAATACTTAAACCATATATCGTAATACCTGTTGTTTGAGTTTCCTTAAAGCTTATAGGAATATGATAGTATAAGTATAATGTTGGTAAGCTACTTACCCTGATTTGTCCAGTGTCTCATTAGAGGAAAAGTATGTTAAAAAATGGACAGTCGAGTATGTGTCACTTCGTCATTAATGACGCACGTTGATACAGAAAGAGATTGTCAAGCTTTGATCACCGTTTGGTTGCACACAATTCAGGTGACACATAGTATCATCAGATATTGTCCGCAGGTGTTGCAATAGGCATTTTATTCAATATTATATCTGATCGGAAATGCCGCTTAACATCCTCATTTTATCGAACGCGAAAAATATAAATGACAATATTTATTAGCTCGAAAGTAAACTCTCTGCAAAAATATGGACAAGTTAAAACAAGATTTATACTTATATAGTGAAATTAAGAAATCGTAATCTTTAAAATTAGCTATGCAATTGAGAAACAAATTCCGTTTTCTCATAATTCTTTCATGAAAGAGACTAATGAGTTATTATTTGCATATTTTATGTGTTATTTACAGTAACACGCGCGATTACACCACAACTTGAAAAGAATTGAGTACGTTAAAATATTCTGTAGTAATTTAAAAGATACCATCATTGGCGATAATTATAATTAATTATTATTATCAGGAAGTCATAAATACGTCTAGCTTAACTAAATGGTCTTCATTTAAAACGCATCTTTACGTCAGTAAAACATCTTCCAGAATTAAATATTCTTATAAATATACGTAAGTTATTTTCATAATGTTCGGCCATTGATTAATCTAAGATCGTACTTCTCGAATTGTTTCAAAACGTAATTCTTATTAATTCCTTTGAATTAATCATATTCTTAAAGAGAGAATATATGTAAAAATATAAGAGAGAATATAAAGTAAAAAAACTGTATGTGATAGCAAAGTTCAGTATTTGTGTGACGAGATAAATGCTGCATTTATAATGAACATAAATATCGTGATTATATTATCATCAAAGACTTTGAACTTAGCGAAATTGCTCTAAGAAAAACGCAAATACAGTGAATGCAAAAAGTATTCGTATAAAGGAGATATCTTTTAAAAAAAACTTTATTTTTACAAAGTAAATATTAGCTAACAACTTATTAATAAAGAATACAATAGAATGCATATATACATTTTCAAAATTATTAAGTGTTTGATAAATTTTCGCCGGTTTTTTGTGAAATTTTGCTTTTAAACGTTTGCTAACAGTTATTAACTTTAATAATTAATCAACATTTAATGTCTCTAACAATTATTTCAGCGTTTGACATGGATCTTCATCAAGTAATGCTTTCAGTTGTTAATCTTTTAATTTTTCGGTGCACCTTCACCTTCTTTATCTTTTATCGAAATCATCACTTGAAAGCGTTGAAATCACTCTTTCGGATGGAGAATGCTCCCCACACACCTCCACAAGCAAACAATAACTTTCAGCCGCACTTTTCTTAACAATAAACCAATGCAGTGAAACTTCCCGTAAATGTTGTTTTTGTTGGCACAAAAGTCGACGTTTTCAACGCAATGACAAAAATGTTGTTTACACGTCCATCAAATGTCATATACTAAACATAAAAGATTGTGTATAAACTCTCAAATACAACAGTTGCCATTGGAATTCTATGCATGTAGTATTTGTGACGACGTCTCTTAAAAAACGACGGAAACATATTCAAACACATTTAATATTTTATATATAAAATGATATGTATAATAATAATTAGAACATTATATAGAGGAAAGTCGCCGATACTGACATACCACTTTGTTTTTAGACAATATTTCTTAAACAAAAGATAAAAATAAAACTTTAAAAGCATACTCATACAGCACAGAATTTATAGCAATATCGCTGCAAAATCTCTGCAATACTGCTGCAACATGCAATGTTGCTGCAATATTGCAGCAGTGTTGCTGCAACTTTATGCTGTAGGGGTAAGTACAAACTAAAAGTGTCTTCTATCAAACAGTATAAGCAGTTTTTATAATAGTTTGCAATTTTGCAATAAATAATTTTTTCGTAAGATAAACAAAAATAAGCGTCTAACAAAATGGGTTCCAAAACTGACACAGTGGGTAGTAATGCTACGTATTCATATTCTTTTTATTTTACAAGCATTATCTATATAAAATACCTACAAATGAATGTATATAAGATTTTCCAGAATCTTTTTGCTTATAAAACGTTTTTATTGAATTATATGCATATTTATTTTATGCTGTTCTGCAAGATACAAATATGTAATGCGAAAGTTTTTCAAGAATTTTTCCATATATGTACGATTGCCTTCAGCTCTATGTGTCAAATACACTTATTTGACACTATAAAGCACCATTATAAAGATTAAGTTAGCTCATGATCTATTTTACAGACAGGTGTGGCGGTTTACGCTGCACCCCAATTTTAAATTTAAAATCGTATTATGAAAAGACTAAGAGAAAAAATAATATAAATAGAACTGATTTAGGAAACTACAAGCATTTAAAATGACGTAATATTATCAATAATATAGTCACTTATTATTTAAACCACGCAATTTGCAAAAGAAAATCGTAAGAATTTTATTTTCGCATTCGTAGAATTCGTTTTTAGCTGATTTGGTATAGAAACAAGCTATAAATATACGAATTATGAGTTTGTACTTCTTTAATTAACTAAACAGATCATAATTTTATTAGTATTAATAAAATGCAATAGTTAATTTCTGAGAAATAAGGGGGTGTCACTTCAGGACCTGTGTCAGTATCGGTGACTTTCCTCTATTATGAAGGTTATCCATTTCGCGGGTTTTCTCCGTGTCCAAATCCATTCTTGGAAAGCCAACGTTTCGTGAACCTTGCAGTCCACTTCATCAGGGCGAGGAGCAGCCTGATACTTTCCTCTATTATCTTCACACAAAATAACTGAAAATTAAAAATTTGAATCCACAAAAAATATAAGTTGATAAATTTAGCTTCTAAGATCACGCGAAGCTCTTTTATTTATGTTTATTTAGAACAACGTACTTACTACATAAAATTGTTAATTAATTTTTTATAACAAATAATTATAAATAAAAATTTGCCTTGTACGAATACTTTTTGCACTGACTGTACGTAAAATATAGTAATTATAGACAATACTATTTTTTCAATTTAATGCATAAATAAAGGTATTATTTCTTTTTAATGATACCTATGTATTTATGCAAAGAAAATTTTAATTCCTATTTTTTAAATTCTACATTATTCTCAATGTATAAAATTATTTTATTACAATTAATTTTTAGTATTATATTATACGATTTTTTATATAATTGAATAAAGTGTATATTTAATTCTCAATATACGCAATTATTTCAATACAAATAATTTAATATATTATCTAATTTATTATGCAATTGGATGAATATATAATTAATTATTGAAAAATTGTTACTGTGGTAGACCTCTTCTACTCAATTCTCCAGTTCTGGAATCAGTTCTTCCAATAGCCGTGATCGTCTAGTGGTTAGGACCCTACGTTGTGGCCGTAGTAACCCAGGTTCGAATCCTGGTCACGGCAATGTGAATAACATTGTCACGGTGGAAGCTTTTTTTTTAATTGATTTCCAAAGTATGTATTTGAGAATTATAGTCATGTCAAATTATGTACTTAAAAAATAAAATTCACAATTTTGAAAAAATGATTTCTTGATTTTTTGTTCGGATGTGTGTTTTGAAAACTCATGTCTGTCAACTATTTACTTCTAGAATTTCTTAAATTGGTGTTTGGAATACATGACAGAAAGAATACAGAAATAAAGAAATATTTAATATGTACATATGTACAACCATTTATTTAAAAATGCCGTTTAGGACACATGTTTATATGGACTTTTTTACTTGAAATAAACCAAAGAATCGCTCTATTGAGTATGGCAACATACTTAACTAACACCCTGTAATTATATATATATATATATATATATACATATACACAACAAAAATATCAACTCTCGCAAAATTTTATAACTATCTTTGCTATTTATCTTTTTACATATTTATCTTGTTATTAATAATGTTAGTTATATTGTTTATTATAGTCCTCTCGATCGAGGTATATATTTAATTTAGAATTTTTTCTATTTACCGGTGAACAATATTCAATTCCGAATGTTTACTTAATTCTTCCAGTAGCCGTGATCGTCTAGTGGTTAGGATCCTACGTTGTGGCCGTAGTAACCCAGATTTGAATCATGGTCACGGCAATGTATAAAACATTACCACGGTGGGAACCTTTTTTGTAAACTTTTTGATTATTCATATTCAAACAATATAGTCATACAACTATAGTCACATTTCAAAGATTTGCGTTTTTCTAGAGCTATCTTAAGGAATGTCTGCAGATTACTTTATTATATCATGAAATAAATTGTGCTTAACTTTATGGCGAATAATTTTTCAATGTCTTATAATTCAAAAGATTATGAGAAACATTTGTCTCGAAACTAGGACAAATATGTGCTTAACCTCCGAGTGTTTCCCACGCTACGATAAGATTTATGTTACATAATTATCGATAGCTGAAACAAATATATTCAGATATTCGTTTTCGGAGAATGCATTTATGACGCACTATTATTACTCATTGCATAACGAGAAGATTTAACGAAACACGAATTGTTCGAGCGAACTAAAATAAATAACGTAGAATGAAGTACGTATAGATATTAAAGAAGATTCAAATTATTAAAATACCACACTTTATTATTATTATAATTTTCATAAGTTGTGAATGATATTGTACGTACACAGCACATCGTAGTCGCGCTCGCGAGCGTTAAACTAGAGTATCAAACTACAATACACATCATTTATACGCCATAAGTCGCGAACTGTTGATCTATCCATTGACGATGTTGCGATACACTAGCGTATACTGCAGGTACATTAGAAGCTCCACAACCAATACCCCATGATACAATACCGGCCTAAAATAAGAATTTATCCAAGTTCATTTCTTTTATTCAATAGAAAAATGAATATTGAATTCAATTTATGTTATGAATTTAAAATACTTATATGAACTGAATTTAAAGTAGCAAATAAAATTAATAATAGTTTATATAAATCTTATAAAAAAATATATAAGAATTAAAAAAATCAATTTTACTCATTAAAACAGTATAATTAATACAACAACGCGGATATTTAAAACAAAATTTATATTTAAAGAAAAATTAAAAAGAAGATATTAAGTTTGTCCATTCCTTTCCGCTCACTGCTAAATTCTTTTTAGTACATAAAAATATTAAGTATTTTTATTATAATCTTTTTCACCTGAAAGAATTGTCCTGTAGCGGCTTGACAAACCAACGGTCCACCGCCGTCACCGCGGCAGGTATCTTTATTTGCTTCACCGCCAGCGCAGATAAATGATCCATGCAATTGAAAGTATTGACCCAATTTCGTACTTCGTAAACGTGTCTGACAATCGTCTTGATTAATGATAGGAAGATTCACCTTTCGAAGCTCGGCCCGATATTGTCCTTCCGGTCCTAGAACGAGATTGTGAAAGAATGCCATGACTGCTGATAAGCAAAAGAAATAATAAACAAAAATCAGTAAACTCAAAGATTTAAGAAAAAATTCGAGCTCACCAAATGAATTGCTGCCCCATCCTAACCCGTAGCATCTGGTCCCGGCCAAGAAGACTTTACCTTGTTTAGGAAGGCAAATTGGTAAGATGTTCGCGCTATAAGTGATTGGTTTTGCCAAAACGAGGACAGCAACATCATGGAAAAGCCCGTCGTTATAATAAGACGGATGTATAGCTATTGCGACGATTTTCACTTCTTGAATAGGCAACGGTTGAATATTATTTCCTATGTTCCACTGTCCGAAGCGCGCAATCAGATTTTCAGGCTTTTGGCTGTCGGAAAATTAAGATTAAGAAAAAAATAAGCCGATCATAATTAATGAAACTGTGAGATACGTTTTAAAAAGTCATTTTTTAGACGTTTCTTGTATTTTTTGTACACACGTACTTTACAACACAGTGAGCAGCAGTGAGGATAGCCCCATTACTGATTATCGAAGCACCGCAGTGAAAAATGTAAGGATCGGTCGTGGATTTTAGGAGTGCGACCATCCATGGAAATTCAGCAAAATAGGTTTTCTCGGAATCAGTGGAAAAAGGTTGCGCTGTAAGAGACTGCTGTCATTATCACTCGAGCAATAGCCTTGGATCAGATATACTATGAATTCATACCTCACTTAGGTGACTTTGACCAAACTTGATCAAATTTCGATTAACGGATAATTCGACTGGCAGAAACGCTTAAGACAAAAAGTCTATAATACACAATTGGTTATTTTTAATCTTTTTTCGATAAGCACATAATTCCATTATTTAATTAAATTTCATTAATTAAATCTATTTATATTTATTTATGTTACTTACACGTACTTGTTTTTACGAATGTAAAAAAAGTTTAATTTTAATCTCTGTTCAACTAACTCTTTTTCTTCTTTTAGTTTATACAAGAATTAGAAAAAGATGAATTGAACCGAGATTAAAGTTAATTTACAGTGATTGAAACGATTAATAAAATAGTGTTGATTGAGTTAATCAAAGTTTGGTCGAAATTTCTAGACATGGCTTTGCGTTACATCGTTAATGCGTATCTAATATAAATATGCGTGGCGCTTATACTTACATGGTGCGTAACTATTGTTTTGTATACCACAAGTGATTTCCGAAACCGGGTGATTGGATGATCCGTTCGCAACGTGAACAGTACTGGACGAGGAGGCGTCTCGAAGACCCTGACGATTGATCCCTGCGAATCGACAGCATACTTGGTCCGCCGAAGAACACAACGTAAACCTCGAATCAATTATACCAAGACCATCCGGACTGATCACGTTCCCTTCAAAACACAGCCAGGTCTTCACGCAGTAACATTCTTGCGATGTACCCGGATTTTTCAACCGGCCTAGATCCGTAATTGGCGCGGCTGATGATGTGTTTAGACAAGACGGTATGTTTGTCGATGTGCATATATTTCTCTCTGACAAGATCTGAGAAACTCTGGGGTCTATCATGGCACCACCACCAGACGTAACGACGATCGTACAGGTGAAACATAGAATGACGTTGTCGCATATGAAACATAATTGTACCTGACTAGGTGATGTTATAGTGACTGTGGATGGTACTGCGATCATCGCAGCAAGTTTGAGTGGTACTATAGTAATCGTGGTCGGAGAGTTCGTCGTTAGTTGTGTCATATTCGCAAGTATCCTGCAGCAGACCAGGTCGTCGGGGCATAATCCGTACCGCGGATTTATTATACCCTCTCCGGAGATGGAGACTATTCCATTAGGATTACATAACGATATCATAACGCAGATACAGTCCATATTCAGTGGTACGATTATAGGAGAAGTCGACGATGCCGAAGTGGGTACTGTTGGTGCTGTAGTTGGAGTAGTTGGAGGTGTTGATGGTGGCATAGTTGGAAATGTTATTGAAGGCATTGTTGATGGCGCAGTTGGAGATGTAGCTGGAGGTGTCATACCAATTACATTTGTTGGAGATGTAGCTACATTTATTGGAGATGTAGCTAAAGGTATCACGGCCGTATTAGTTACATTTGGCAGATAGCAGCAGACCTCTAAGTCCCCAGTACATCTCCGATTAGTGGCAGAGCTGTACAAACTTAATTTAAGTAATCAAATACATTCTAGAGGTTGATTTCGCCAATATCAACCAACTTGAAATTTAATTTAGCCAGTAAATTAAATATAAAGCTTAAAATTTACAACTTAAAAGAAGAAATAAAAATTAATCAGAGTTTAGGACTTTAAAAATCGAATCCAAGATTAGATAAAATTAAAGTAACAAAGCTATAATATAAAATTAAAATTTGATATACATAAGTAACAGATTAAAATTAATCGATCTCAATAGATTAATAACGCATGCAATACTGACTGATATCAAACTTTGATAATTAACAATATAAATATGACACAATGAGACTCCAACAGATAAATTCGCAAAAGAAATTAAAACAAGGAAAAGCCAATGTGAACCGACACTAGTTGTTCGTGTGTAATAAAGTATTAAATTAGTGTACTGATGTTTCAATCCTTGGTATTGGGTCCTCTTCAGTGTATGAATATATGATCGATATATTTCACAAATTACAGAATAATGAGTAAAAGAGTCATCAAATCATCGTTAAGCTATTGTCAAAATTTAAAATCTTCATGTCGTCTGTCGTATTATATCGGATACTCATTTTTTATGTTATTATTTTACTGTTTATTAAAGATAATCCACAAATACTGTTGACGCGTGCGGATAAAAGAAACGTAGTAATGGCGCTAGACAAAACGGATTATATTAATAAGAAAATCCGACACTGATATATATACAGTTTTAAAACGTAATTCAATCAATAGAATTTTGAGTGAATTGAAATCGTTATTAAAAACTTGGAAGCAGTTTGATTTCGTGATCGATCATACACAAGTTTCTTAATTAATTCAACTAATGCAACACGAGGGCATACCGGTATGCCAAAAATTCATAAAACAGATAACTCTTTACGCATTATAGTATCTTCCATAGGAAGTCCGCTGCATAATTTAGAGATTTATTTACACTGAGTTTTAGATACATGCCTTGAAAAACCGATGGGTTATGTCAAAAACAGTTGTCAACTAGCTAAAGATATATCGTCAGATTAATTTACCAGATGATTCTTTGTCTCACTTGAAGTGGTTTCTCTCTTTACCAACGTGCCTGTTGAATTAGTTATTGAGAGCATTGAAAATCGTTGGTTGAGTATACAAGATAACATTAAATTACACAAAAAACGAATTAGAAAACAAAAAACTAAACCTTCAAAATGATACCGATTTATTGGACCTCTTGTATTATGATTTGGTCACGAAGGATTAATGTTTCTATGTCTTGTTGAATCTCTGTATCTATTTATATTTATACTTTATTTCAGGCCTGTCCAATTTGAGCTCCGGAGCCAAAACGCAAATCCATCGATGCAAAAAAATTCAATGCGGGTAAGATTTCGGGGATTATAAAATGTTGATATATATCTAAGTGATCAACGCTTATCAACGATTTATAGTTCCTAAAATCTTACATTGAATTTTTTTACGTTGATGGTTTTGCGTTGTGGCTCCGGAGCTCAAATTGGACAGACCTACTTTATTTATTTATTTGTCACGTTTCACATTTTAATATTCTCCTTGCGAACTGACATCTCACACTGTTCTAATATCTCGTTATATTCACATCATATTGTAATAGATCATCGTTAATCTGATTTCAATGTAAGTTTTTAGTAAATTTGACTTTTATATTTAATTTATGACTTTATTAATTTTAATTTTTGACTCGTTATTTTAGTGTAAAATTCTAACATGTACGGTTTGAGTATCCGATAAAATACGACAGACGACATGAAGATTTTAAATTTTGATAATAGTTTAACAATGATTTGATGACTTAGCGATATACTCATTATTCTATAATTTGTGAAGTATATCGATCATATATTCATACACTGAAGAGGACCTAATACCAAAAGGGTTGAAACGTTTGTACACTTTTAATTTAATATACATACTTTATTACGCACAACTAGTGTCGGCTCACATTGGCTTTTCCTTGTTTTAATTTCATTTGCGAGTTTGATAAACTCACCGCTCGTCGATTATTCCAGACCCATCGGTGATGATAGTCTGATTCCTGTCGCAAAGATAAAAAGGTACACAGATACAATCTCTTACCGGAGCGGCAGCGGTGGGAAAAATCTTGTCTAGCTTCTGATATCGCGGTTTGCACTTGAGCAGATTCAAAAAGAATACAGACGACGACTCGGTAAATGGCACCACATCCTGATTTCGAAAGAAAATGTCTTTTCGAATCATTATCGGTTTTTCAATCTGAACGTGTCCATGCTTCATTCTTTCTGAAGTAATTGTAACATTGATCGTCATCGCGACCATAGCTACTAGCACGTAAAGCCGCGACATGACGATATATCGTTACTATTCGGTAGAACGTTGTCTATTGAACGATTTTTTTAACACGAGCACGCATTTATGTATACAGGATGTACTAGTATTTCGCAGGTTTATGGGAACAGATGCAGATATGACGTTAATAGCATATTATCTTTTGTCATAACGACCAATTTTCGAAGGCAAAATATAATAGCAACGCGTCATGCATCAGCATGCGTTTAAAAATACAAAGAGAGTGTAGGGATTTGCAAAAAATAAAATACAAATAAGTAAAATATTTAAATATGAAAAAATTATAAAATTTTTATCCGTTGTACATGGAATAAAAACAAATTAAATCGATAATTTATTAATAACTCTTTTATATAAAATTAAACAAAAATGCTTGTTTAAATAATCAACAGCGTGAATACAAAAGAATTTATCCGATAAGACATTTTAAATAAATGTAATATTAATATTAATTTTCCATTTAAATAATCTAATGACAATTCTGCAGTAATTCGGCAGTATACGTGTATATATGTGAAGAACAATCAAATCGTTTAACTGATCAAATGCAAAGGATGTGACCTACTTACTCGATAGCCAACATCAAAAATAATGTGTCAACATCCTTCCAAGTTAAAATAATCAGATAGAATTTTAAACTGGTAATGCGTGTGTGGCGTGTTAGCTCATCTTTAAATAATACAATTATTAAATTATGTGATAAGAACAATAAAAACTGAATATGAAAAAATATGTGATAATTATTAATTACGATATACAATAGTACTTCTCTTTATATTAAATGCCAATTGATTCTTTTAAACTTCTTTGGTTGAAAAATAATAAGTAATATAAAAAAAGTAGGTTACTGTTGTATGAATTATCAAACTGATCTACGTGCAATTGTTATAGATATCGCAAAAGACGCAGTCACACAATATTTAACGATTTATTTTGATCTATATGTAAGGGCAGAAAGTATTATATATAGATTTTTGATAAATTCCATTGTATTACAAATACATCGTTACTACTGAATAAAACTTAATAAAGAGTGATATAATATTATGAGAAAAATACATTTTTCATTCAAATGCATATATTCTATGAATCATTATTAAACATAATACAATTTTGTACAAATACATTTAAATAATATATTAATATGGTGGAAGTAATAATAATATAATTATCCTTGGTACAAATATTTGGACTGGCGAGATGATTATGACGATATACGTAAGAATGTAATCTTAAAATACGAACGACTACAAAAAAAAAAGCGTGTCCAGAATGCACAAGATTAATTCCGAATAGGCGGAAATCTAATACGGCGAATAGAGGAAATACAAAGAAAATAAAAATCCAAAAGGTTTGATCGCGCGAGCGCGCACGCTCGCGTTTTGGATAAATACAATAAAGCTTTCTTGGATTCTGCGTAAAATCTTAATCGATTGACAAATTCCAACACTCGCAGACGGGAACGCGTAAATTGGGTGAACCTCGATCGACATCGAAGGCAGTAATTGCGACAAAATAAATATTTATACAATTCTGTAAAACGTGCAACTGGACATGCTACATTATCGTGGATCTGTGCGAATTGAAATTTGCTCATTTCTCTCTTTTCAAATTTCTACCTATGTTACAATGTTACAATGAAATCTAGTTTTTACATGCTCCTAAATCGTTATCACCTGTTACTGCTCTTAATCGCTGCTGCACGGTCGGATTACTGTAACGTCATCTCGCGCCTCACTATGAATCAGTCCGGTGTAATATGACGGCATCGTGTATGAACGGCGTAATTCTAAACTTCGGCCACGTATGCCATTAAGGTATGAGACGCGCATCTTACAGAAGTAAGCACTTATTCGCACTATTAAATAGTAGGTTTCGTAATACAAATTACAAGAATATTACACTTCAATCTTAGAAACATAACATTTGGCACACTATAAAGTCTTAATTTCTAGTAGGAACATTTTGTAATATTTTCGTATATTATTTAATACTCCATATACCCCGAAAAAATGGCAATACCAGAATACTGAGATATTCATCGCACCGTCTTTTGTGATATTCGAATATATATATATATATATGTGTGTGTGTATTTTTTCTGTCTCTCTTTCGGCCAATATAAAACTTAAAACATTTCAATTCCTAAAAGAAGCTAAGAAAGTATACTATGAAGCCAGTTTCACAGCAAGATTGAAAAACACTGAATAGGTTTTTTTCTAGCGTTCCTAAATACTTAAGAGGATTAAATACGCACCCTGAAATATATTTATCTCTACGGAGATAAAAATACTGTTGCAACACAATGTTAGTTATAAGTAAGAGGCATTAGATGTCTTTTCCTATATTCGAGAAATCACATTTACACATTCGTGAAAATCACATATACAATTATGGAGATGAAATTAACGCTTAGATTATTAATTAAAACTTATGAACAGAAAATAAATTTTTAATTTCTTTGAGAAAGAATTGAAATGTTTTAAAGATCATGCGATTTAATAATTATTCGTGATGTAATCTGTTAAATGTCGCAAACAAATTTGTGAAAATTTTACTTAAACATTAGCCGCTTTAATCTGATTATTGAGATGGAATTGAATCAAAATGTACAACGTTGAATTGAGTTATCTTGTGCTATGTGTGTCTTATTATCCTACATTTAAACTTTAAACATTTTATATCGCACAGATAGAGCGGAAAAATAGAAAAAGTTTCTAAATTTCATTGAATTTTAATATTAAGTTAACTTGTAATAATAAGTGGAACACTTCAAACTTATTTGACCATGAGTGACCGACAGTTCTACAAAGGAGAAAAAACTACACACTTTCTGTTATAAAATTGTCCCCTCGTAATTTACATAATTTGATAAGCTTTTCAAAATAACAATTAAAAAAAAATCATATTTGTTGAGGAAGCTCTTTGATAAGTTTAATTCGCACGTTCTCTTTCGAAAACAAAACTATACTAGGCTGAAAGAGATTTCTCACCTCTCTTCTACTGTCTTCACCGTCAACGAATATAATATGATCTTTATAATGTACACATTTACTTTTAATTTAATATATACAACGTGTGGTAACGATATGAAAACGAAACGTGTCCTTTAGTGAATCTTAAGGAACACCAGAAAGAAGTGTCGACTGGGGAAAAAACCATGTGTTTTCCACGAACTGTCAAATCCACGAGGCGAAAGCTAGCTACGTATATAAACATGAGGAAGCGTGATCTTAGCAGCAGCTTTTATTTCGGCCTTGACAATATCGTGATGAAACTGACAGTGACAACACCTCGTATCTAATGTTCCGTCTGAATGTGGTAATAGCACGTACAATATACAGAATTGAGAATGGGTCATTTTATATCCAATGGATGGGATGGTTAGATGAAGGAGTGGATAGACGGATGGGAAAGAAAGAGGGGATGGAATAAATAAAATGTTCGTGGAAACGTATAAAAATTCTAAGTACAATTATTATGGTTTAAGAACTTGTGATGAAGAGGCACAGGATCTCACATAAAGGGCACGCTTCCACAAACAAAATATTGACATACAGATGATAACTCATGCGCACGTAACATTTTATACATCTTATATCTTATAACAACAAGATGTTTAAATTAATATCACTGCTCAAATAAGAGCATCGAGATCAAATGGTCACTTTTATGTTTTCCAGTTGACAAGTTTAATATCAGTAGATCCACGTTTCGGCAATGCGGATTTCAAAACTTGCGTAAGTGCACGGATTTAAATGATATGCGCATAGAGTTATCTCTTGTACATTGGTATAACTCTCTTATATCTATATATATCATAAACTATATATTATATTAGACTATATATATATATATATAGTATATATATCATAAAATATAAAAACTGAACATTTCGACACGTTAAGGCACATGTTATCATCACAACTTTTATTTTCAAAACTAATGATATAAGTGTATATATATATATATAAAGAAAATTAATAATTTTAATAACAATTCGCGAAGATGCAATCATGACGTAAATAACATAATTGTCGAAACGTTCCGCTGAACGTTACAATGAAAAAAATAAATTAAAATAAATTAAAATAAAGATGTGCGTGTGTCCTGATTGCAAAAATTAGGTGTTAACTTTATGCTACGAGGAAATAAACTTTCGAATAGAAAATAAGAGACTAATGCTGACAAATACATCACTAAAATATCTAGGCAAGGCTCTAAGATTTCTCCTTAAAAAATCGTTGTCATTTCGAAGTCAAGGCGAATTAAGAAACGTGATTGTTTTCCTTATCTGTATGCGTGCAATGAATAAACTTTGTACACGATTTTCATTTTCGAATACGTCTCTGAAGTCAAGCTGTCGGTATTATAAATGCTGCATTGTATAAAGCAATGCAATTTCTACTTCTTGATAATTGATATATCCGGTAAAATATACAGTCAAAAAATCAAGTTCTTCAAAAATTAAAGAAAGCGCCAAACCTCGACATATTTTCATATACGTTTAAAATATGAATTCTAACGAGTTTTTTTATGCTGGGTCACATCAATCATCATACTCTCGACAATTAAAATCCAACAGTAGGATACGAACAAAAAGTTCTGTTGAAGTATATCTAAAGCTAGATACAGATTTAAAAATTATTTTGATAGTCCAACAAAATTATTTTCAAATCTATATCTAGTTCCATTTTTAGATACATCAGCAAAATCATTCCTTCCCTTCCGTGTGACATAAACGGAATATAAGTGTGAATTCATGTTGTCGAAAACGTAATACGTTCATAATTCTTGAAGTGCGCTTCAAATGTAAATTCGTAAATGGATCTGGCAAATTATGTGGATTTATCCCGTTTTTTTCGTGAATTGTTCAGACTTGCATTGAAAATCTTTGAAATGCAATCTCGTTATCTAAGAAATTAATGTGTTGTCCATCTCAAAATATATTGCTTTTTCTATAATCGTTTAACACTCGGCCTTTCATAATCAAGATA